TGGAGTGTGGGGCACATTATTGGATTTTCTGACTGATTTGTAGGAATGCTGTAATTGTATATTGTTCTTGGATCCAGAAAAATAGTTCCAAAAAATTTGCCTCCCTTGGAGTTATAGCAACCCACTCCAGTATTCTTGCCTGAAGAATCCCATGGACAGAACAGTCCATGGGTCCCAAGAGTTGGACAAGACTTAATGACTAAACCATGGAGTTGTACACAGACAGTAACATTATCTGCAAATAAGATCAGTTTCATCTCTTTTGTTCTTTCATACTTGATAAAAAAATTTGGGGGGTGGGGGCTGTGCTGGATCGTCATTGCTACGCTCAGGCTTTCTCTAGTTGTGCTGAGTGGGCTTCTCATTTCTATTACTTCTGTTGTTGCAGAGCAGAGCTTCAGTAGTTGCAGCTCATATAAAGTGTGGTCTCAGTAGTTGTGGGTGTACTGGCCTAGTTGCCCCAAAGCATGTGGAAACTTCCTGGACCAAGGATTGAACCTGTGTCCCCTGCATTGGCAGGCAAATTCTTAACCACTGGACTACCAGGGAAAGCCCAAACAATGCATTTTCTTCGTCCACTGAGTTACTAGTATAGATCTTTTCCTTTAAGCAATTAATAAGCTGTATTCTAGAAATAAATTTTTAGATGTTGAGGCATCACTGCAATCCTGAGATACACCCTATTAGTTGTTTTTTGGTTGGTTTGTGAGCAACTGTTGAATTGTCTTGTTTAGGATTTTTAGCAACAATGTCCGTAAGTGAAATGATCTATAATTTCCATTTGTATTTTCCTTGGCCTGGTTTGAGATCAGTTAATACCATATGTGTGCTGGATCCCTTTTTTTAACTAAAGTTTTTATAGTACAGGAGTTAAGTATTTCTTGAAGGCTCAGTATGTCTGATATCATTTGTGGGGAGAATACTCATGATTATCAGCTCAGTATCTCTGATGGTTATTGGTTTATTCTGAGTTTCTATTCGAGTCAATATTAATGATGTATTTTTGTAAAATATACATTTCACCTATGGTTTCGAATACTTTAGTGTAAAGTTAGTCATCTTTGTTTGGGTGACTTTTAAAGCCTTTATTGGTTCTAGAATGATTTCTTCAGTTAATCATCAGTATACCAGAAAAAATTAGTCATCATTTGTTATCTGGGTCCAATGATTCTTTTCATTTTAAAAAATATTTTTAAGTTATTTAGCAAAAATGTAGAGAATAAGGAGTTAGTGACAACTTTATTAGACATCTTAATAAGAATGGAAACATAGGAAACCCAAAATTTTATTCAGTATTTTTGTGGTTTTGAAAGTATTTAATATACAAGATGGGTAGCATCACATGAACATAAATATGTGTTCATCAACTGTCATGAACCTAGACTATAATCATTTCATGAACCTTGACTCGAGTTTAAATGCATCTCTAACGTATTTCACAGGAGTGTTTATTAACACTTCTTGTTCTTTTCACATTTGCACCTTCATAATGCAGTGCATTTAAGAACTTTGATGTCATATTTTTGTGAAGAAAAGGATTCTTTTTTTTTTTTTTGCCTCATAATTGCAAAACACTTTCAGATTTATAAACAGCAATTAGAATGGTAACTCCAACTGATTTTTCACTTTTACATCATTTATTGCCTTTCAATACATTCTGAATATACATCTGCCTTCAGTATTTGTCTACCTACAATTTTGAGTAATAAACATAAAAGATATTCTTGTCACAAAGTACAGTGGTGATGACATCTTTCCTTCTGGATAACTGAGTAAATGAGAGTATTTTATTTCTTTTGTCCTTAGAAATATTGTTCATTCATTGATTCTTGAGTTTGAGAAGTTTTCTAGGATACTGTCATATGAAAATTTATAGTCTGAGTTTGCTTTTAAGAGTCCAGAGTGCTGATTCATTTAATAATCATGAAAAACCTATTTTCTTTTCCTTGCCATTATGGATGAAAAATGAAAAATGCTAAGTTTCTGCTGCTGTGGCTAAGTCGCTTCAGTTGTGTCTGACTCTTTGTGACCCCATGGACTGACCATGGGATCTTCCAGGCAAGATTACTGGAGTGGGTTGCCATTTCCTTCTCCAGAGGATCTCCCCAACCCAGGGGTGAAACCTGCATCTTTTGTGTCTCCTGCACTGGCAGGCAGGTTCGTTACCACTAGCACTACCTGGGAATCCCTTAATTTTCTTTTCCTTACCATTATGGATGAAAAATGAAAAACGCCAAGTTTCTAATTGTGCCCAAGTAAAAGCTTAATAAACGTTTACAGAGATTGTGTCTCTAGACCTCTTTTACCCTCTTAAAAGGTGATGCAGGATTTAGTAAGGCAATGCGAAGAAATCAGAAGGATGGTGCAACTGATGATTCATTTCATTATTCTTCTAGGTGATTCCATCACTCTTGTTTTCCTACTGTAGTCCTTTTTCAAGCATAATTCCTAATGTTACAGCAAAGCTTAATATTTATATCATCACTATTATTTTTGGTGCACAGTGAAGCTTGAAGGTTCTCAATTCCCCAACCAGGAATTGAGCCCAGGCCATGGCAGTGAAAGCCTAGAATTCTAACCAACAGGCCACCAGGGAAATTCCTTTTCATCAGTTTCTATTGACTTCAGTTAATCCAATGAACAGGTTTGTTTTTGTTGACATTCTCCATAATTTTGTCTTCTGTTTTACTAATTTTTTGAGGGAGGATATTTTTGTTTTTAAATTTACTGAACACTTTTGGTCAGGAAATATGATCTATCAAATCCTTGAAATGTGCAGACTGTGATTTAGAACATTTATAAAAAATTTGTTAAAATACTTGAAAAAATATGTATATATTACATATAATTTCTATTTTATATACCAGTTCTTTTTCTCTCTGCAAATTCTATATCTGCTTGTTATTTCCATGTCTGGTGCATGCTCAGTCGCTTCAGTTGTGTCTGACTCTGCAACCCTATGGACCATGCAGAGGTGTGCTAAAATGCCCCCTGTGATTTGAATCTTTTTATAGCTTTTTATTTTAGATGTATCTTTTCTTAATCAACAAATAGATTCCATTATCTCTAATCTTATCTGAAAATATGCCTTTTAAAAGATTTTACTTTTTTAAGATTGTTATTATTGGAATATATGGATTTACTCTTGTCATTTACTTCTTTTCCTCCTTTCCTGACATCTCTTGGATTTACGGTTTACCATATTCCTCTTTCTCCCTCCTCTGATGGTTTGAGAGCTTTAAATTAGTTATATATTTTCTAAAGTAATTTTGAAAAGTGATGTACCCTTTTTATACTTCAACATAAAAACCTTTTTAAGTTTCAAAAACTGTAAAGAAAGTCATTTCAGTAACACTGATGTTTTAAGCTAATTGTCATAGTAATTTTCTATCTAAAAACACTCCTTAACATAGTAGGAAATTTTACACTACCTTATTCCCAATTCATGTTTCTATTTTATTTCCCCACGTAACTTTTATCTCATTGTAATGAAAGTGTAATGTTTAGAAGTCCTTTACTGATATCCTGTCATACATCTGTTTCTCAAAAATGTGTGAAAAATATATTTACTGAAATTAAAAAAATCTATTTCAAATGGCTATAAACCTTCAAGTTTGAAGACTGTTATCTGGATTATCATTACTATTCAAATAATAAATTAAGATGCCATAAATATTACTAATTGCTAGAATGAGACAATTATATTACTATTTTTAAACTATAGATAAAAACTATAAAACTATAGATAAACTATAGAAAAAATGCTGAGAAAACTCATTTATGCCTATAAGTGAAAAGGGACAGAATTTTGTTGTAGTGATGTCACTTTTTAAGTTATATGCCAGAAATAATAAATTGATCATCTAATTATTTTTAATGATCTTTAATTGATAATCTGATTAAGCTTTTTCCAATTTTGTTGAAAACAAAGAATTGAAGAACCACCCTCACTGAAGTCTTTTACTGGTCAGGCCATTTTCTTTCTCAATTCCTTGGAAACGTAACTAAAAGTTAAGACATCAAGATGTCTTTACCAAGATGTCACTTACTCACTGAGCATCATCTTGCTTATGGAGCTTAAAATTAAGACAATCCTGAGTATAAATATCCCCATAAAACTGGAAATTGCACATATTTATTGAGGATAACTCTACATAGGTTAGAAGCATTATTTTAATTTGAGAAGTATGCCTTTTACAGAATTAGAACAGAATATAAATATCTGAGAAAAATTAATTGTAAGAAAGTAAAGCTGGATTTCTAATGTTACATGCACTTTCCTAGACTGTTTTGTAAAACATTTATACCTATACCTATACATGAATAGATGTTCTGCTTTTTAAAAGTATTGTTTAAGGTGTTTTATCAAACTAAGATGCACATTTTAACATCTCTGAAATTGAGATGCAACCTATATATATATGTGTGTGTGTGTATGTATGTATGTATGTATGTATGTATATATATATATATATATATATAGCATATTATAGTTTAGTTGGTAGTATTTTTACTAAGTGGTACATAAGGGATTATATATAATCATGTAATAACAGTTTCTTAGATGTATATTAGAATAAAAATTAAGAGTAAATCAGCAAAGATATTGGGGCAGTACTAAGTTTAGGGTTTATACAACACATACTTATGACTACAATGTTTTATTTATAGTAAAATCCACAATATGTTTCGGTTAATTTAAATGTAAACACAAAGTAGAAATGAAAAAAAGAGAGAAATGTCTCAAAGACAGTAAGTAGGTGACTTGGGACAGGTAAGAAATTAATATGGATTTACAGAATCTAATAATGAACTGGCAAATGATAATAATGTTTTTCATAAGAATCTGAAAAATGCTCTAGAAAATATAAAAACCACAAACTTACCTCTGAAACAAGATGTTTTAACTTGAAGATCTAAGGTTAATATGTCAGAAATAAACATGGAAATTTTAACTTCTCTTTGAAATCATGCAAATTATACTATTAAGACAGGTTTGAGACATATTCATCAGGCTCTCTATCATTATTGAAAGTGGGGAAAAGACAGTTTGCCTGACAGCAGATTCACCAAAACCTATCAAGCTTTTATACCAATATTGAATAGATGAGATAGACAAGGCAAGCAACTTTATCATTTGTTTCCCAAAAATAAGGTGCCTTTCTCTTCATGTTATGTTCATGCTCTCTTTGCTTTACTTTCACATGATTCACACACAGGAAAAATCATTTTTTGAATAGTCAATAGACAAAAAAGGAAAGGCAAGGTCATTAAATAAAAACTGTCATTGCTCTATCTTTGTATCCCCACATTGACCAATTTAACTTATTTCTAAGACCACACTTCACCCATAATGAAAATAAATTAACTTTCACTATACTTCCTTGGGCAGTCAGAACAGTCTGCTCAAGTTGAAAGTCCAGGGACATACCTTTACATCTTGATGAGGTACAGGAAAGGTTCTGGGAGTCTGAGGGACCTGAAATATTGTTGGTATCATTTTTGAAAAACAAAACCTGCCATAGGTATCTTTTGTCAAGTGGTAGAAGGGTAATTATGAAAAGGCAGAAGGGAAAATAGAGAACTAGCATCATCCACTGATGATAAAATGTTCTTTAAACACATCATTTTAACAAAGAGTACATTTGGGATTTGAGGATCTGGATCTGAATCCCTTAAAGCTATCCTTGTCTTTAAGACCCAGCTAGAGATTATACTTCTGTTCTTCAATTACAGGAATATTTAAGAAGCATGCTTAACTATAAATTTCCCTAAAAAGGTTATTTAACATTTCTATGGAGGTAAAAATGTGCCTTCTGGAACAATTAAAAGTTATTTTTCATTTAAAAGAATGATCAATTTCTTCACTCAGCTAAACAAAATAGGCTAGTAACATAAACAAATCAATATCAATGTTTAAAGACCTTTGATAACTATGTACACTAATAACCAGAGCAAAAAAGCAATGTACATTTACTGAGGACAAAAATATTTCTTTTAAAATCAGAAAGGTCAGATATCTGGAAGCAGATGTTGGTAACTTGGCAAAAAAGAAATTCTGCATTTAGTTGTTGAAGATTACACTTATAAACTAGTAAAAATATACATAAGCCATTAGAAAATTATAATTTGAATGTTACAAATATGTTAGTATGTATTAGCATAAAACATCTTTTTTATTTTTGTCAATAATCCAGTGATCTCTAAGCAATGGCTTAATAATTATTTCTAAATGCCATTTCTCAGAGATTTTCTTACCTACAAAGTTCAATAAAAGTATTCTACTTGCTCTAATTTTCATCACATATCATGACCTTAAATCATCTAGAAAGACATTAAGTAGGACATTCCCTTTAGAATATTGGGGGGAAAATTACTATGTTCTTTGTATACAGCAGATAAAAGCAGAGCAATATAGTAGTTATAATCAGAATGTCAGCATCCATTCGCCAAATATTTATTAAGCACCTACTATTTTCCAGGCATCATTCTCAAAAAGCTGAGGATACAGGGGTGAGTGAGAAAGTAACAGCTGCCATCTAGAGTGCTTACTATGTGCCAGGCTCTGGCGTAACAGTTTTCACACATGTAAACCCATTTAATCCTCAAACACAACACCTCTATGACATGGGTACTGTTAATCTTTTCATTTTACACATAAGAAAATTGAGGCACAGAGAAGTTAAATAACTCACCTAACTAGTCTGCCTCTGAATTTCTCTATTCCACATCTTTCTGTATAGTAATAGTATTAGAATATAGTAACAGTAGTAGTCCTGAGTCTCATGAAGCTTTTATTAATCTAAGTCCTTCCTTATTTCCTGTTCTGCCTCTGTGAAAGACCTAACATACAAATAGAACTGGTCATGGCTCAAATAACTGGTGTGACCATCTCACTTTTAGAAGTTTCTCTCTGGGAATGTTTAAACAAAATTTTAATGAGCTATACTTTCATCATATATTGACCCCAAAATACCTAAAAAGCCTGAATGTTCTAAGACTTGGTTTTGTTTAAATAGTTGGGGAAAATGAAAATCCCTTTATATTTTTCTCATAATCATAGGCATATGTACACAGCATTCTGTGTGTACTAAACCTTGATTTAGTTCAGGTAGGCCTAGTGGTTCTAAGATTATGGGACTCTGCCTCATTCTAGGGATGGGTCCATGTTCAAATTTATTATGCCACACCGTCTTGGTCATAGTTATTGGATCAAGACTACAAAAAAAGACTAAGCATGACTGATCTGTCTTCACTGGGACTGACAAGAATTGAGAAATATTCTCTTCACAATGGAAGTGATTTGATACTGCTGATAGCCATCTTCCTAAACTCAAGAGAAAATGATTCCACAATACTGGGAGATATGGAGTAGAGAAATTCAGACACAGAATTCTTTAATTTAGCTATGGAAGAAATAGGTCCATCCTTGTCTTTTTCAGTTAAATGAGTATAAAGGCTACAAATAGTGTTAAATTTAAGCTTAAGCGGGTTTCTCTAACTTTCTACCACATTTCAAAGCATTTTTACAAAAGCATTACATAAAATATGGACACAGAACAATGGTTATAATATGGATAGAAATCTTTTTTTATTCTCTTCCTTTATTTCCTTTCCCTGTGAACAAACATATAGACCTGTCTACAGCACAAAGTATGGTCTATCTATTTTCAAAAGCAGTATCCAAAATATATACTGATGAATTCTATCTATGTGATTACAAAGCATTATTTTAATAATTCTTTTAGCATATGACAAAAGCACAATATAGCTAGAAAGACAAACTGCTTTATTTTAAAACATTAGAAAAAAACATTAAAAGGCAAATGTCCATTATATAACCAAGAATGTTAAGCATTTGGAAAATGTCAATCTTCTAAACTGTGGTAGGCACTTCCAGAGAGCTAAATATTGCAAATTATCCTACCATATGTCTTCTCTAATACCAAAAATACTTGATATGATGAAACACACAACTAAAATTACCCAATCAAAGTCACCATGTTAGGTTTCAATTTAATTACAAGTAAAAGTTTTGTCCGAGATGTTCCTGACACATGAAGCGTCCAGTTGAATTTCAGAAATGTTAACAAAAGTATCTTCCTTTTTTGCCTGTGAATGTTTGAGTATTGCTGTATTGTTGGCTTATATCCACTACAGATACTGGTTCTAGGCCAGCCCAAGGGTCTTCAAGCATTGAAGGCTTGAAATAACTCTCCAACTCATTAGACATTCTCTTTTCTCTACCACGCCCTGATCCAAATGGTGTAGATGTCCTTGGAGAACCCTTTAGGAAAAAAATCATTAGTTAAAGACATTTAGCAGAGGTAAGAGTGGAACTTTCTCTAGCGGCTAGTGGGGGTCACACTGCTAGTTAAAAGTTATGTCTTGAACCCAATTATGTTCAATTTCAAAGTCCATGCTTCTTTTAATCTAGTGTTTTAAAGAAGTATTTAAACCAATCTGATATACTTATTAATAATTTTATGCCCACTGTCAGTTCAAATCCTTTTGGATTTCTAATGTGATAACTTTGCCAAATGAAAAAATGATGATGAAATAAGAACTGTAGTTTTCTCTCAGTTATTTCCCTATTTTTTCTGGAGGCAAATTAAAACTTTTTTTACCCTACAGCTTCAATATTTCTAAACCTTCCCGTCTCATTAGCTCCACACTCAAAGAGGTGTTTCGGTTTAGCATAAAGTTGGAAAACTACTAAGCACACTGAAGTTGTAAACCACAGAATTCTACAAACACTACAAAGACTTGGAGCAGAAGCCAGTGTGTTCGGAAAACCAAGGTCAAAAAAAAACAGAGTGGAAGAAGAAAAGAAAAAGGTGCCAACAGTAGGAAGATGGCACTAGCCTATAACTCTAGAGAGATTAGCTCTACTCTAGGGATTCATTCGCTATTTTTCCCCCTCGGAGAGCGGGGACTCAGCATAGTCTACTGCAACCAACGGGCCATGCCCCTGACAAAGAAGAGGGAATTAGGGAAATCTGTGTACAAGCGGCACTGTACTGGTGAAAAAGCAGGAGGGCTCCAGAAACAAGTCGGGCTCTGCCACTTTGTAGAGCATTCCAAAGAAAGCTACACTTCTCTGAGCCTCAGTTTATCCATCGGCAACACATGGCTAACGACAGTATCCCACCTCATAGAGGAGTCAAAATAATCCACGTAAAGGGTGTACCATGCCTGCCATACAGTAAGAGCTCGGCAAACGCTGGCTATTATTACCTGGGGGTGGGTCTGCTGCTGCCCTGGGGAGTAGCCGAATTGCTGCTGGGACCCCGCGGGGGACTTGGAGTAGTTGCCAGGGTAGCCGCCTGGGGACGGAGACCCGAACCGGCCCCCAGGGAAGCTGCCGCCGTGTCTCGGAGAGAGGCTGCTCCCGTAGGGCCTAGATCGGGGCCCGTACGGCGGCGTGTGGTGTGGACTCCCGTACCCGTCCCGCGGGGATGGCGGCCGCGGTCCGCCTCCGCTCGGGGTACCCCGGAAGCTGCTCCCGCTACCCCAACCTCCTACACCCGGGCCGGGGTAAGGAGGAGTCGGGGGTCGAAAATTCTGTCGCTGCATCTCAGTGGACGACGACAAGGATCTCACTGGCGCGTTCTCCTGCCGGAACTGTCGCGAGCAGCCCCTCACTTATACTTGGTGGTCCATCACGAAAACACTCCTCCGTCCTCCAGCATTATATAGCACATTGGTTCCGGCCTCACAAGGGTTCCGCTAGGGCGGCGGGATAAGTAGGTTATCGAACTGGGTACAGATTGAGTTAAGTGGAGGAAGAAGTGGGTAAAATGGATAAAGGAAAGGCCAAACACCGGCCTTTGAAGTCTCGCGGGCTTTGGTTGGGACTGACCCACCGACTAGGCGCCTGCCCAGAGCTGGGTGGGTGGTTCGGAGCGCTCGGCTGGGCCGACCCGGCCCCTCCCACCTGGTGCCGGCGGAGGGCTGAGTTTTCCGCGGGCGCCCCCAGTGGCTGCGCGAGCGCGGAGTTCTCCACTCGGGGAGCCAGAATTTGTGAGCCGCGCGCAATGCTGGCATCGCTGGCGAGGGTCTCGGCTCTGCGGAGAACCGGCCTTTTCTCCCTCCGGGGCGGCGGGACGGGGCTGTGGACCGGCCGCCCGCAGTCAGGTACCCTCCGAAACTCGGTGCAGGCGGCGAAAGAGACCCTAGTCCCAGCCTTCCCACTCAGGCGGCAATCTGAGTAGAACGCTGCGCTTTCCTTAGTATCCTTTGACCCCGCCGCCCGCCCTCTGACCTTTCGCGTCTCCCCAGCGCCCTGGCTCCACGGTCGCCGGGTGGTCACCCTGCCCGACGTCCGGGTCCCAATCCGGGCCCCGCGCGGTCCTACGGGGCGGACCCGCCTTTCTCTCTTATTCATCCCTCCTCGTCTCCTATGTTTAAATAACTTGAAAAATGTACCCCCCACCCCCGCAACCAGCTGCATTTCAGAAAGGATTTCAGAGTGCGTCTTTAAATAACTCGGGGGTAAGGCTGTGTTCGCAGATGCCGGACTTTATTCCCTTCCTTGTTCTTGTTAAATGCAGTTGGGTAAGGGAGGTGGTTAGGAAGCAGAGATCCTGATTTTCAAAAAGAACATTTGTCCAGAGATCTTAAAGTAATGGCCATTTCACAGACCTTTGGTTATATAGAAAAATGTGATCATTCAAGAAATGACCCCTAAGGTATTCAACACACCTTTGAACCGAGGACCTGGCTCAGAAGTTTATTTAGAAGATGAAATTTGGATTTATTGCAGTTTTTTGAAACTGTCTTGACTCCCTTCGAATTTCGGGATGAAAGTCTACGGTGAGCCTTGAAATCAGCTTGTAGGAAAAAGAATCTTCGAGAATTTTAGGACTCATCTAATCATGGGTAGCGTGGACCTGTGCCTTTCAGCCTGTGAACATTCTTGCAGCTTCCTCTTCTCACCGTCCGTTTGACATATTCTGTGGCATGTGGCAAGCTGAAGAATGTGTTGTTCTCTCAGCTACTATCCTTGATGAATGGAGAAACAGTTTTTCGCCATTGTTTGAGAGAATTTGGTTCTTAAGATTTCTTGTTTAGACACAAGTTGTAGAATCAATCAAGGCAGGGTAATCTCATCGAGGCTTTGTGATGCAATTAAGGCCTGAGGATCCCAGATTACCCTCTTTAAACATATTTCTGTCCTGTCTAGAAATTCAACTTCCTGGACTTTGTCTTTGGCGCTTAGTTTAATGCCTGGTAATTGGGCTCTCAGGTATTTATTGAATGAATGAGTGGGTCACATCATAACCCACATGAGTAGGTTAGTGAGTCTCACTTGTAATACCACCTTTAATGTCATCAACCAGTCTACCTCTTGGTGGGAGGGAGCAGAGAAATGAGGGTGGCAGGGACCAAAATTACCTTTGTTAATATTTAAATAATTAGCAAATGATTTGTTGAATTGAGTGAAGTACTATAAGTTGTCTTTTTACTTGGCTTGCACTTCTGGAATGTTCTTCCCTGTAGTGATATCTTGCTATCTTCCACACATATGAACTTGTATTAGAAACAAGAAGTAAAGTGTGAAATTTTTGACCAGTAGATTATGTGTGACATTGTGTTCTTCATTATGTTTTCAGGTATTTATATATAGGAGGAGTGAGGGAGAGCACATTCTTAATAATTGTATGAAAACTGCAGATTCCACTTGGATCACTTCTGAGTATAGGCAATTTGCCTTTTTACAGATGAGAAATTGTCCAAGAGAAATTAAGTGACTGAAACGGGAATCTAACTTCTTGTTCACAGAGTTGAAGAATGGAATCCATGAACATGCAGACACTCATGGTAGCAAGCAAATAGGATTTATCAGAAAGGAGGAAAATACAAAGCTCTCAGCATAGACACTGGGGGTAGGGGGTAGTAAAGAGTCCCTAAAAAGGTGGGGATTACAGCAGTCTTATGTCTTTACCAGTATTAATCTGTGCATTTTTGGTTGACTCCTGTCCTTAAAGTATCATTTTTGACTAATCAATTTAAAGGTCAAAGTGTTTAATTTAACATCTTTATGGCTTCATAATATGTACTTCATAGCAAATTTTTTTTTAGATATTTATAGATTAGTAGATTTTAATTTTGAACATTTGTAAATGTAGCTAGAGTTTTCACAGGTCCTGGGGATTGCAGTCTGACTGCTTGAGCTGATGGGTCTGAGGTCCCAAGACGCATATTTCAATTTATTTATATGCTGGTGAGTTCAGGGGAAGAGGAGTGTAGGAAGTTTTATGTTGCATTACCTGGAAATAGAAAAGTGAAGTGGGATGGTGTATGTGAGAGTATGGTGACTGCCCCATGAATGAAGTCGGAGTCCTGTGAGGAGAAAAGGGCACTTTAAAATTTGTGTGAGTAACATGAGTATTGTTCTGACAAAAAAAGAATTGTAGAACTGTTTAGGGAGGACCACCTTTAGAAAACAGGATCCCAAATAGGATAGTGCATTTATTGAAGACACTATTAATGGCTAGGTGATGTCTTCAAGTGACATTGTGCTCAGAGGACATCAACAGGCAAAGCGTTAAGGAACTTTCTCAATACCTATGAAGTATATGGGGATCCCCAAAATAATTGGTTAACTTTCTGATGATGCATGTTTTACAAGTTTTACATTAATGCAAGTAAGAGTACCACAAATTTAAGTGTAAGTGAAAATGGGAACTTGTCCATTTTTGTAAGACAGAGAATCTTTATTGGCGTTACCAAAGATTTTTTTTACTGTTTCTTTTTTTCAGTAGATTGAAAACAATTTTTTTTTGGTAGAGCCTTTTTGAGAGCATATGGCTTCGTGTTTGAAGGAGGAATTGGGATTCCCAGAGCTGCTCACTCTGACCCCTACTTTATCTGCCTCCTTTAAAAGACACTTCTGAGGCACCCCTGAGGAATTTCTAGGGCTCTCCAGAAAGGATTTGAAAGCCAATATGTTTGGTAGGCATCAGGTCTTAACGAGTGCTGAAAACGTAAATACTTGGGGTAGTTTTTACTACTTATTAACAAGGAGTGAATATTTTCGTTTCTGCATGGTCAGGGCTTTCTACGCCAAGAAAACTAGAACTTGGGTTAAAGGGCAAGCCTTGGAAGTTAAAAGATGACTGAAATGATTGTTAGAGAGCTTCCAGGAAATTTATGTTTATATTTCAAAGGGGTATAAAACTCAGAGCCTTGGATACATTCCCAAGATTGAGGTTGTTAACCCAGTGACGTTTATCTTTCCTCCTGGAGACATTTATTTACATTCCAGAGAGTCAGAACCCAGGGAGCATCCCCCTTTCTTCCTGAGCAGAATTTGCTTACTTTTGGGCGATTAGCTGTCTCTGCTTTTTTGGGGGAAGGTGCAGTACCGAGCAGCTGTTCCATACAAACTGATTGGTTTATAATTTGGGGGACCTTTCCTAGGGTTCAGTCCTTGTATGTGCAGGTGAAGTCCACCAGTCTCATTATGACTCCTGTAACTTATTAGTTGGGGAGAAAATGGTGCATTTCTTGATGTAAGAAATAATAACTCTGATCTCTTCTTCAGAAACCACATTTTTGAATGAGTATGGGTATTAAAGACCATGTATTTTTAATGAAAGCACTTCTTAGGACAGGAGAGGGTATTTAATAGCGTCTATGTTGGAAATGTTTGTTCCAATTTTAGTAAATGTGCTCCTGAAACTAGTCCTGGAAATGTTTGTTCAGGTATCTCGGGATCTGCAGAGGATTGATTCCAGGATTCCCGCCCCCTTGGATACCAACATCCAAGGATGCTCAAGTTCCTTACTATATAATATGGTTTGGTATTTGCATATAACCATGTGTCCTGTGTGTACCTTATAATACCTAATACAATGTAAATAATATGTAAATAGTTGTAAATAGAGTGTAACTGCTATATAAATAGTTGTGGGAGGTGTGGCAGATTCAAGCTTTGCTCTTTGGAATTTTTTTCTCCCCAATATTTTCATTCCACCATTGGTTGAATCTGTAGTTGAGGAACCCATGGATGGGGTGGCGGGGGTGGAGCTACTGTGATATACTTAAGAGCATAAGCTACCATAGTATTCCCTGAGCCTTTTAGATTATCTCTGTTTTCCTCTTCTCTTGTTAGCTGTTTAGCTGTTCCATGTTAAAGACTGTCAATAGTAGAAAAGTAAATACATCTCTAGGATATGATTAGCTCATTCACTGATAGGGTGAGGTCTGCATTGAACACAGTACATCACTTAACTATCACTTATGTAATGTTCTCATTGATTAAGCAGGTGTTGGAAGCAACTTGTTCTTGTCTCTGAGAGCCAAACTACTGTTAATGATCTTCTTTTCAATTCTAAGCATGTTTCCATTGTCCATAGTAGTCAAGCACAGGTGAAATGTTTTATACATATGTATTTTTTTTGATTAATAGTCTTCACCCATGTGTAATATGTGTTAATGCATTAAGTCACTTATAAAAATTTTTATTGAATATAATAAAATTGTTGACAGAATACTTTGACATGAAGAATAAGAATGTAATTATTCTTTTCCAAATACAATTTTTTGTTTTAAAATGAGTGAATAAAATTTTAATGTCACTAGAATTTGTATCTTTGTGTTTTATACTCATAAAAGGTTAATATTCTTACTACACGAAGAGTCCATATAGACCAATAAGGAAAAGATAAATGTGCATGTAGACATATGGGCCAACAAGAAGAATACATTATTTACAAGAGAAGATATAAAAAAAGAGAAAGTATGAAAAGCAGTGTTAATTTCTGGTCATTAAGTAAATGAAAATTAAAATGATAGTAACATGCATATTTTTAACTGTTGAATTTAAAACAAACAAATAACCAAAATGCTCCCAAAACTAAGCCGTCGTGGGTTATGGGAGATAGTGGAGAACATTGTTTTCCACGGCTGATGCATATATATATTAGTACTGCTTTTCTGGTGGACAGTTTGATAGTATGTATGAAAAGTTTGAATGAATTTGCAACATGAACATGCCTAGGCCAGCTTAAGACCTGCCTCTGTCCTTGGAAACATGCTCCTCACTGTGCCTTAATCCCCCCAAACTCTAAAAGGCTTAGAGAATAATTTTTATCTTTACTACTTAAAGAGACATCCCTGGGAGGGTTCCATAGCACTTCACAGAGAGTATCCTAAGTTCTTCTAGACATCTCCTGCTCTTCAGAATGACCTATTGGAAGCAGTTGAAAACAAATCAAATCATAAAACATTTTTTTCTGACTTATGTATCTGTCTACTCACTTCTCCCAGGCTGTCCCTTCCCTTTCCATCTATTCCTCCTGTTTTATTTGCAGTTGGTCTGTAAAATAGGGTTCTGTTCCCTTTGTGTGTTCAAAATAGGCTCATTGCATTCACCATCTAACACTGCCCCCCCCC